GTGTCATACAATAAACAATAACATCACTTTTATTCATACCAAGAAAAAACTAAAAAGGATTAAAGTTTTCGAACTGTTTTCAGAATGAAATTTTACTTCATATTTACTTCGATAAAAGCCACATGACATATGTATTAGTAGAAGGAAATGATCAAAAAGAAAGATAATTCATTCTATGAATCAATCATAAAACCAACATTTTATCGTTTATCATTACTGCAGATATACATTGAACGCACTGTCTCTCGTCGATTTTTCTTTATCTTGCATATTTATCATCACGTTACAAACATAGAAGACATTTGTCCAAATTAGATATCGTCATATTGGGGGAGTGAAAGGGCATGTTGTATATGCATCATTATTTATCGTTTACGTTTGTATGTATATGATTTTTTTGTGACCGTAAAATGAGCATCGTCATCATTTGCTTGATCAAAGTTTGATAGTGTCTATGACTGTTTACTGACAGTAATTATTATAGAAGGTTTTTTTCTTTCGAGTATAAATTATTATTTCTTGGCAGAATCGAAATGTGAGTTGACGTTGATCGATAACATTCGGTTTTTTTTCAAGCAACAGCGTTGGATAAAATTATCGCGACTACTGAATATATCAGATTTCATTTTCTCATAATATACAACTACGAAAAGTCGTACGTATAATATACTTTACATCGAGTGGACTTAATTCACATGTTAGCAGGAAGTTAACACGACATGTCAGTTATATCTTAACGGAAATAAGCGAAAAGCAGCGAAGATTCTTCAATTTTCTTTTAGAGATTATTATTAGCATTATCAAGCATACTTTACACGCTTGATGTGGAAACTTATAAGAGACAAACACCCATTTTGTTCGATGCCGTTAGCAAAAAAAAAAGAAGAACCCATAAAAGTGGCGTTATGACGTTTTCGATGAAAGAAAAAAATCCGAGAGAGAGAGGCAGAGAGCGAGAAAAGGAGAAAGATGGAAGGAAAAAGAAAATAACAGCAGACTGCAACGTTTGATGTAATGCGTACTTATGGATGAATGAGAGAGAAACAGTGAGGGGAAAATGTGCTAGCAGATCAGAGAGATGAAGAAAAAATACAGCTCGATCATACATTCCGAATATAATGAGTAGTAGGTCATTTATTGATATTATAGAAATAACAACAGTATATCCATGCTGTTCGTTTATCATGTTTTATATCAATGTTAGTTATTTGTACAGTTTATTATCTGTTATTCTTTTCCCATCTTTTTTTCCACATGTAAGAGTGGATTACTCGATGTTGATTGAAATTAATAGTGACTATTTTATGTTTATTTACCGATGAAGAATACCGTATGATATTTTTCTTTTGTATTCTGTTATTTAAGATAAAATTATTGCACAGCTCAGTCAGATAAGAAAACGTGACTTGGATAAATAGTATACTTCACTTATTCAAACCATAGATTAGACAGGATTTATAATCCACAATGAGTATATAAATTTTATGAGTTTCTCTTTTTTTTTTTTTAGATTTTCTTTGTTTTTCGTATATATACACATAATTATTAATTATGGGAAATTCTTTACCTCAAATCAACTCTCAACGAACGGTTAGTTCGTCGACAAATGCATTAGAATATCCAACATTAAAAAAGTCAGCTAGTTTACGAGAATATACTCGTAGTACATCATTAATCACTAGTTGCATAAATAATAATAATACTCGAAGAAACATTTCGATTTCAAGGCCACGAACAATGGCCCCAACTGATGCTGAAATAATTGATATTCATGCATTACGTTGTGAAATATCAAATACAAATGAAGGTGAAAAAAAACTATTAAAACAACTTGACTATATTCATTCATGTGTACGAAAAGATAAAGGTTTATTTGGTAAGTGTCAAGATATAGAAAATAAAAAGAATTAAAGTCTTCTATTTAATTTAATAAAAACAAAAGGTATGATGACGGAAAATCTACAAAACAAACATATTTTTTCAAATGACGAACCAGAAAACACTCATATATTAGAACAAACACCAGACGATTATAATATGGATTATGAATCAATTTATTTACAAACACCAGATGGTGAATTTATACATTCGTATTGGATTTATCATATGGGTGATGTCAATTCAACAATGACAGTTTTATATTTACATGGTGCAGGTGGCAATATTTCACATCGACTTGAAGTTCTACGACTTTTTTATGAAAACCTTCATTGTAACATTTTAATTATTGACTATCGAGGTTGGTAGAATTTTGTTTTTGAAGTAATTTATCTAATACAGGGGTATCCCAAGGTCGTTTGGGTTGAGAGGAGACGCAATGTCTCAGAAGACCAATTAGAAGGTTTTTCCTGGCGTTAATTATATTTTGAAGTGTTGAACATATTATTTTTTTGGAAATTAGTGAGCGAATCCACTAGAGAAAAAAGAAGATATGAGGGAGTCGTTCCCCTCGGGATACCTCTGCTCTGATATAAATATATATGTCTAGACAACAATAATTGATTTATTTATCTAATTAGGCTTTGGTAAAAGTTCGGGCTCTCCAACTGAACTTGGCCTTTATATCGATGCTCAAACAGCATATGATTATTTAATATATAAACAAAAAATTTTGCCAGAAAATATCATTGTTCTTGGTACAAGTCTTGGTGCATCCGTTGCCATTCAACTTGTTAGTGATCCATTAAATCATGTTAAAGTTGCTATATTTGAAAATGCTTTTATATCTGTTCCTGAAATAGCAAAATATTTTTTAACATACGCTAAAAGTGTTATTGGTATAACAAAATCGATTGGTTTTATTTATTTATTTGATTCATTACCAAAAGTACGTCGTATTGAATGTCCATGTATTTATTTAACTGGTTTACTTGATCCTATTATTCCACCATGGATGTCAAATACACTATATAATGAAACACGTTTAGCAAGTAAACGTCAATTATTTGAATTTCCATTTGGTAAACATAATGATTTACCAATAATGAAAGATTATTTTGAAAATATACAAACATTTATTAATGAATTATCATTAACAAAAATTGAAACAGAGGAAACGGTGCTTAGATAATTAACTCATTCTTCTGTTGTTATATAAATATATAGTTGTTTATACATATCAACAGATATAAAGTGTCAATAATCTTTTGGAATTTTTGTAAAGAAAAATAACGAATAAATATTTGTGCCTCCTTTGGCTCGCAACATTCATATGAATTCATTTTTTTTCCTAAACATCAGAATCATTAAAAACCATATAGCAATATGGTTATTAGTTTAATCACTATTTACAGGATGTTTGAATTGTTCTCGACCGAAACATATTATATTGTGAGATAATAACGGCGGAAATAGACGCCGACTAAGCTCTCCTCCCACCTGACAAATGATTGAGTTGCATTCACAAAGGGAACTTTAGCTTTTATAGAAGCGTTACCTGAGACTCTTCGCCTTCTCTACAAACATGATTAGGGAGATGACCTCTTCAGAATAGAAGATCATCAGATTTTCAAAAGATTTTTTCAGCAGAAGAAAAGCATTCTTTTTGAAATCAAATTCATTTTTTTAATTTCCGGTTTCTTAGTACTTAGCTACTAAAAATGTATGTTTGACTACTAAAGAAGTTTTCAAAAATTCTTTGCTTTCTAAATCAATGCTATCAAAAAAAAAAACTAGCTTGCCATAGAAGACCACTTTTGAAGGAGTGATGTAGATTTCCATAATAGAAGGCCATAGCTTTTTATTCAAAGAGGAGTTTACTTATTTTACTATTGTTTCTTTTTACTGAGCGTTAAAGCAAAAAAGAAATGACATGACTACATTTATTTAAGTCTTTTATTGTGTCTCTTTTGTTTCCGTAACTTTTTATTACGAGGATTTTCTAGAAAATCAAAACGATTTTGAGGATTTGCGAGAATATGTTTACGGTTTTAATAATCCAGAAATAATACTGACCACAATATTTTTAGATATGCAGATCAAAACTCTGACAACTAGGCATACTTTGATATAAATACATTAATTAAAGTTTCAATTTTTTGAGATATAAATTAATTAGGAGCAGGAAATCCTTTATTACATCCGTCATATCGTTCTTTCAAGGTAGTATGCTTTCGAAGGGAGGGGTCAAGATAAATATGTCTAAATTTCCGATGGGTGTACCGGTAATGAAACACATTTTATTTTACAAGAGTCAACGCACATTGTATGAAGAAAAAACTTGCTACAATACATTTCTATGAGTATATAACAAACATGTTTCAAAGTCGAGTTATGTCATAAGATAATTAGTCTTACTGATTCGGCAAAATTTGACCTGATTACCATTCTTTATATATAAAGAAATGGTTAAAATTACACTTTAGTGTTATACATACTTATGGCATTAATATATTTGAAATTCAAACTAGATTTTCATTTAAAATTAATCTAAAAAAACACAATAATTTGATTTTCTATATATGTTCACATATGCGACATCTACCATTACTGCTTCTTATGTAGTTTAGTATATTAAAAAACATTAAACTTTTCGTTATATTTATCTTTCTTATCATTTCTTGAAAGACATAAATCAATATTAGCCTTGTTGGTTTTTACGTTTCTGTGTCAATTTATTCAAAAAAAAAATTGAAGCGAACTCGAAGAATGAATGATTCTTGACCTTATTAGAACCAAAATCTCGTATATTTACTTTTTGCTTTGCTATTCTTTTTTAAATGTAATTACTCAATGTTTCATCAGGTTTTGTTGAAATAAAATAGAACCAATTAAATTTTTTCTTTCATCATTCTCGGATATTCCTCTGAAAGAAACGGATTCGTATGTCATCAGAAAATCAGAAAATTTATGTTACATCAGACGATGGTTGTTCTTATGAATAAACTATATAAAAAGCTAAAAAACAATAAAAATAATAATAAAATCTAATTATATTTCTTTATAATCTCTGTGACTAATAAGTAATAATGCTCGACGACTCGAGTATAGATCGTTTTGAAATGGAAAATTTACTAAAACGAAGGTTTTTTTATGATCAATCCTTTTCAATTTATGGTGGTGTCAATGGTCTATATGATTATGGTCCAGTGGGTTGTGCAATAAAAGCAAATATTATAAGTTTATGGCGGCGACATTTTATTCTAGAAGAACAAATGCTTGAAATTGATTGTTCAATCTTGACACCTGAAATTGTACTTAAGTAAGATTTTTTAAAGTTTTATGTAAAAAATAAAAGAACTTCTTGTAATTGTTTTATTCTTGTAGAGCATCCGGTCATGTTGATCGATTTGCAGATTCTATGTTGAAAGATACTCAAACAGGTGAATGTTTTCGAGCCGATCATTTAATTGAAGGTAAATGAAAAATTACATTTTCATTAAATTAATTTAGTTTTTCTTCTTTTATTAAATAGATCATCTTGAAAAATTACTTGAAGTAAAAGATATTTCTGATGAAAAGAAAGCTGAAATTCAACGAATATTACCACAAGTAAATTTAGATAATGAAATCATATTGATAAAATTGATTATTATATTTAGATCGGTAATATGAATGTTAAAGATTTGCAAAAACTTTTAGAACAATATAATATAAAATCACCTAATACTAATAATGATCTTTCAGAACCTATTGCTTTTAATTTAATGTTTTCAACTTCAATTGGTCCAACAAGTCAAATGAAAGGGTTAATTCAATATTAAATATTTTTTGTATTTCATAATATTGAAATATTATTATTTATTTAGTTATCTTCGACCCGAAACTGCTCAAGGCATGTTTGTTAATTTTAAAAGATTATTAGAATTTAATCAAGGTCGATTACCATTTGCGGCTGCTCAAATTGGTAATTCATTTCGAAATGAAATTTCACCACGATCAGGTGTACTTCGAGTTCGGTACGTTAGTTTTGTACTTAGAAAATTTTCTTTTAATATATATGAAATGCCATCTCTAATGCTAATATTATTCCGGTTCAAAAACTAGTTTGAAGATAGAAACTAGTTTACCTTTCAGGAAACAGTTTAATCGTTATTTCAAAGAATCGTTTATGTCATTTGCTATTTCATCGATTTCCTTCCTTTGTCTTTGAGGTTGTCATAGAATCGGAAAATGTTCAGTGAGGTTGGAAGACAAGATGTAATTTTTTCTAACAACATATGAGGTTCATTTCCGATGTTTCAATTCCTAATGAAGATGAACATCTTCACGATAAAAATATAATTCAATGCTGATTAGAGCTGTGCAAAGCTACGAAGAAGAAAGTGAAAATATAGTTCAAGAGAGATGATCCGAAAAAAGTAGCTAGTCAGTGACTGAATAAATAAAAAAAACAACTTTCGAAGAATTTTTAGATTTGATACTAATCAATTCGTCTTCTGCCAGTGCATCGGTATAGTCATTTTGCACTAGCTACATACTTCTTGACTTGACTTAATATACTAGGACGACGTCTAGAAAAACTTGGTTCTGCACATCTCTAGTGCTGGTTCTATATATATATATATATTCATGACTGTTATTGAAATTTATTTGTTATTTCTTGTTTCTAGTGAGTTTACCATGGCAGAAATTGAACATTTTGTTGATCCCATTGATAAAACTCATTCAAAATTTGAAACTATTGCTGATCTAGAGGTTCAACTATATTCAGCGATTAATCAAATAAATGGTGAATCGGCTCAATTAATTCGTTTAGATGATGCTGTTCGTTTAAAATTAATTAATAATGAAACACTTGCGTATTTTATTGGTCGAATATATTTATTTTTAATTAAAACTGGTATTGATAAAAATCGAATACGTTTTCGTCAACATATGAATAATGAAATGTCTCATTATGCTTGTGATTGTTGGGATGCTGAATGTAAAATAAGTTATGGTTGGATTGAATGTGTTGGTTGTGCTGATCGATCATGTTATGATTTAACACAACATATAAAATTTAGTAGTCAACGGCTTGTTGCTGAACGATCATTATCTACACCAAAACAAATTCAAATTAGTGAAAAAAGATTAAATCATAAAATGATCGGTCAATTATTTCGTAAAGATGCTTCAATAATACTAGAATATTTACAAAATTTATCTGAGAATGAAGCTCAAACTTTACATAAAAAACTTCAACAAAGGTATCAGAGAATAAATTTCAATAGAAATGATTACTTCTTGTTTTTTTTAGTGACGAAAAACTTACTATTGACAATAAAGAATTCAATATTACAAAATCAATTTTTACATTAGAAACAATTGAAAAAACAGTTCAAGGTAAATGTTTCTATCACATTGTATTTTTTATTGGATTATTTTATTATTAGTGGAAGAATTTATTCCATCAGTAATTGAACCAACATTTGGTTTCGGTCGTATAATGTATACTACATTAGAACATAACTTTAAAATTCGTCCACAAGACGATCAACGAAAGGTAAAAGTTTTTTATACATATATATTCCAGGTGTTCTAAAATGTTTGCTTTAAAAAAATGCACCTTGAAATTCTCTACAAACTGCTGTTAATCTTAATTTAAAAGAATATAAATGAATGTTCCTTAAAGGTCACATAATATAATTGTATGAAATCCATCAAATTTTTACTATGTGTGTAATCAGGTGTCTAGATGACTGCATTTAATGATATTTTGATTGACTATGAATTTCTCTTTTTGTATAATGTGTAAGCATTGAATCCCAACTTACTGCCGTTGAATAGAAATAATGTATTTAAGCTGCTACAGTGCGAATATACCTTTTGTTAGTATTCAGATTTTTATTCCAGTTGAATCATTAAGTAACATATGTTATTTGAGCTTGAAATAGAAAGACAAATCTGGTATTTAAAAATACTCCAAATATGAACTCGTTTTGGTCATGAGTGAGGTTTCTAGATTGTTGCTTTCTCTTGAAAAAGAAATGAACAAGAAAGAAAATATCAGGATACTCCAAAAACTACATATAAATGCACAAATAGCAGACACTTTATGGAGCTACGTATTCTGAGTTCTATTTTCAAAATTACATAATTGTTTCCATGCAACAATAAATTAAATACAGAAAAAAATTCGCTTCTGTTGTTTCTAATGAGGGTGCATAGAAGTTTGTTACGAATTCAACGGTGCATCTCTTTAAGAGAAATCCAAGATTTAATAACTTTTGTGTACAGAAATACAGTAATAACTCTTAAGTCTCATATGTTGGTTACAAAAAGAGTACAATGAGAGAGCTCAGTATTGTTTATCTCATTAATACAAGTTTTGAATGTGATCAAGATTTACCAAGCTCTTGTTGTAGTAAAACTATCAGGCAAAAATATTCAAATTTAGGAACTTTTTATCAACTATCGAAACTATTGACGGCTATACTATATATGTAAAATAAACAATATTGCAAACATTTTGGAACGTCCAGTAAATAAGTTGATGGAAAAAAGTTTAACAACAACGTATTTTTGATTTTTATTTACATAACGCTAAGCACCTAGTTTAAATCCAGATGGAAATTTTAATATCCAATGAAGTTTTCTATGTAATGCATTCTATATAAACGAAAAAAGGCATTGTTTAGTCGGCTTTTTGATAAATTTCGATTCTAATATAGAATGTGTTAGATAAAAAACTAGGCACTTCAGATTGTAGAAAAAAAACCAAAAGTACATTTTTGTTAAACTTTGTTCTTCGACTGTAATGTATTTTCAATAATAAGTTCTTTTTCTTTCTAGTATTTCACATTACCACCTTTAATTGCACCATATAAATGTGCTGTTTTACCATTGAGTGCTAATGCAGAATTTAAACCATTTGTTAAACAAATATGTACGTTTGTTTATATTGATATTTCTTTGAATTATTATTATTTTTTTTTGCATATATTTAGCTGATCTTTTAACTCAAATTGGTATTTCATATAGAGTCGATACATGTAGTAGAGGTATTGGTAAACGTTATGCACGTTGTGATGAAATAGCTATTCCATTTGCAATTACAATTGATTTTGATACTTTAAGTCAACCACATTCAATAGTATTACGTGAATTGAATTCATTACAACAAATTCGTATTAAAGTAAATATTTAAATTAAATTAGAAATTTTTTTCTTTTACAAATATTTCTATATTTAGATTGATGAAATTGCATGTGTTCTTCAAAATCTTTCAACAGAAAAAGTAACTTGGGATGAAATATCAACAATATATCCTACATTTACAGAACAGAAAACTAAAAGATTAGAAGATGTGAAATAAAAAAAAAGAAAAAGAATTTAGCTTTTGTTTTTTATGACAAAATAAAATGTTTCAATTCAAATAATAAATAATATCGTTATGATTCATTGAATACATAAAGAACAGCTGGTGCCCAAAGAAGAAAAACAGGACAACTAAAATAACAAACATATCAGTCTCTTCTTTAGTTTAAAAATATATATCTGATATCCCTTTTAAAACCAATTAAATTTTCTATTCATAATGGACTAACATTATTGAGAAATAAGGTAGGATAATGTAAAAAAAACATTATTAATGTATAATATCGATTTCATTGTTGAATCTAACATATTAAGTTTTATAACCCTTTATGGGCCTTGAAGTCTGATGTTTGCCCTTGAAACAAGGACTGTTTTTTTTGTAAGAGACTCTCCATTCTGTGCACTATAGTTTTTGGTTATTTTAAAAAGAGTTACATTATTGTTGAGAAATTCATATTCTAGTACATCATCATCCTATAGTTGTTTCGACGTTAGCATATTCTAATATGGACTTACACGTTGAATTACTTTAGTGATATCATAAGGGCTTTAATTCGATTTTTGTTGAGTTTTATCATGCGAATACTATTTCATATTAATTAAAAAAAAAGATCAGATATTGTTATTGAAGCCAAATATTATCTTCAGCCATTTTTAGACATAATAAGAAATGCACAGACAATGAAATACTGTTGTTGTGACATTTTTTTAGGGTCATAAAAAGATTTCTGAAAAATAGAAAAACACGAAGAATTTTTCTTTTTGCTTTAATTCAAATTTATTGAATTGAATTAAATTCTTTATTGACTTAAAAATTGATCCATATGCAAATGATTTTTATTTTCTAGTCGAACGCGATGTTCGATGCAGTAATTTCTGAGAAAATATTTTTCTATTTACTATGGTGTTTTAACACATATTGCAGGTTTACTTTTGAAATTAAAAACTATTTCTTAATTGTATCCTATCAAAAAAGTATCCTGAACAAACTTCTAACTTGGCATATCATTTGATGATTTCAATCGATCTTATTGTAAAAAATATTATTAATTTTTCAATATCTTTTTATTTTTTTTTGTTTTTCTTTCCGACAATAATTTTTCAAGAAACTCACTATGATGCTGTTCAACGACAGAAGAAAAGTATCTCCATCTTTCATGCAGTTCTATGTTGGTTTTTAAAGGAAATATATCTTTGAATTTCAACTATGATAAAAAATTTATTGTTATTAATAAGATACTATTTCTCATATCTAATAATCTTCTCCTTTTCTTTATTTAAAAAAAAACTTAGTTTGAGAAACACAATCTGACAATGGTATTGAAGTACTGCGCAAGAGTCACAAGCTTGGATGAAGTTATAAGAAAATGTCTCATAGAGGTACTACTAAATCTTAGTAGTTTTCTTCGATTATAATAAATAATTTTCAATTGTTGGAGGTGTACACCCTATCGCTTTTGCGACCTCTGACAGTAGCGATGAAAATCTGGACTATTCCCCCCTTTTAGACTATGATAGTCGTTAATATACGATCGTAGTCCGTTTGTCTATCCACACTTTTTATAATACATGAACTTCTTCCTCATTGCATTTCTAGAGAATTAAAGTAAAAGTATAATGAGGGAATATGTTCCAAAATAAATAAGTTAAAACAATATACTTATTATTATTCAGAGCAGCTACATTGTATCTCATATATGAATCCCGCTAGAATTGAGACAACAATTTTTTTTTTCTTTAGAAAAGAGAAGATGAAATGAAAACAATCAATGAAAAATTATCAGAAATAAATAGTAATTGTAAAACGATTAAATCTGAAGAAGTTGATGAACAAAATATGTCATATCAAGGTGAATATACACGAGAACGTCGAAATGCATTCGTTGATGCATCAACAGTATGGAAAAATGCTAATGCGTCTTGTCCAAAACATTATTATAATCAATTAGCTGAACGTATTCGAGAACTTGAAAAAGACATTGTACCTGATCTACATTTTTATCAAGTACCACCAGCTTATTCACCATTTTCAGCTATAACACCATGTTCAAATGCTAGTGGATTTGGTTTTTCAAATTACCCATATACACATAATTTTCCGTTCAATTTGATTTCACCAAATTCATCTGTACCAACACAACCATTTGGTCTATCTTCAAAAATTCTTGAACGTGCTTATGAAATTCCTGAACGGTTAGATAATAAGACTAGTAATTAATTTATTTATAAGTTTTATCTAGATTTTGGATTGATTGGCAAGAAAGACAAATGCAAAATCGAATAGAAGAACTTGAAAATATTAAAAACAAATGCATCAGTCCAAGTAAAGTTGATTCAACAATATCAAATCAACAAAAAGATCATTTATTACGTCATAATGCACAACACCATATTAGTCCTCCTCAATCAGCAGCTTTTGATACGATAATTTCAACAAATGATGATAACAAAATATCTTCATCAACTAGCGATAATAATTGTTCATTTAATTTCGATCAACGATCAATAGATAAAGTCAATAGAGATAATCTACAAGATATGAATACATCGTCACCTATGAAATCAATAACTTCTACTCCATGTCTACGAAAATCTCAATCAACACTTGATCGTTCTCGTTTAACTATATTCTTACCATATTCATTTACAAATATACCAGAACAAACAATGTCTACCAATAATCAAACAACGTCATCTGCTAATAGTATTGAAGATGTAGCACAAATAGACACTGAACTTAATCTTATATTAATTTTACGAGAAAATCGAGATCAAACAAATTCATTATTATTTTCAAAAGTTATTATTGATCGTACTATTGAATTTCAACCATTATCATCATCATCATCGAAAAAAGAATCATCAACATGTCTAAGAAAAAACATCAATTAATGTCGAAATAGTAATATAAAATTATTTTAAACCGATCACTTTATTCAGGGTTTCAATTATTTTTTTCTGTTCATGATTATCATGTATCTGTCAATACAAAAATAGAACCTTCCGTTTAAAAAAAGAAAAGACGAACACAATAACATTATACTATAGTTTTCTTTTTATCTAACTCTTCAGATCTCTTTAGACATACAAAAAGAAGGGAGCAGATGAATACATAATGATCGATTTTGTCTAAAAGTTTTTTTGAACCAATACCATCAAAATGTCTCATATCAAATTTTGTAGCGTATTGACCTTTTTTCCCTTAATTTAAACATTCCTTTTACTTGACATGCACGTATATCTACATCTAGTCAAAAAAAAACAATGATTCTTTTTTTTTCATTCTAAAATGGCCCTCGAAATTTATCCATCGAAATAAATAGTATGATGAAACCATATCTAGTTGTTTAAGGTCAATGTTATTAAGAAACCTTTTAAATATATTCATTCTAGAAATGAAATATTTTTGTCAATGTATTAGTAACTAATGTCTTTCAAAATCGAATCGATTCTTTTGCAATATTTGTTGATTTAAGAAAGAATTTTACAGTCAAATTGAGAAAAAAATACATTGCCAAGCTTTATTGTTTAAGGTTAACAACACAGCGAAAGAAATATGTCACATGATCTGCTTTTTTTTTTAAAGTAAAACAAAACTAATCATAAAGAATTGTTAATGAGATTTTCAATAGTTTAATTAAATTCAGTGAGTGAACATAATAGAGCAGGAAGAATTATAGAAATTTCCAATAAGACATGCTCACAATTAGAAACACCTACGCTATTCATCTTGTGGCAACAGATTGAACTTATTCAATAGTAAAGTAAAAAAAACAAACAAGGTTAAAAGGAGAGAAGAAAAAAAAAGAGAAAAAGAAAGAACGAAACAAACTATTCACAAGCAAGAAACGTCTAGAAGAGCAACTTACTGTTTTTAATTTTTTTTCTTTGGCTTTCAACTGGCCTCTGTATTTTTCATGTCAATAAACATAAGAGAACAATGCCAAAAAGAAAAATTGATTTTCAAAATAAATATTAGTAGACGATTGACAAAAACAAAAAGTAAGTAGAAGGTACATTTTTTTTGTTTTTTCTGTTAGAACTTGAATAAATTCATTTGTTATTTTGTGTATTACAGTTACGATTAGAATTAATCATGGCTGATGAACAACATCATAAGATCAAAGGTCACATTGCTTCAAATATTAATTCAAAGAAAAAAGAACATATTCGAATATTTGTTCAACGAAAACATTTATCACATAGTATTTTACATAAATCTATTTCGACCAAAGCACGTACTATCGAACATTTAACTTCAGCTATAAAAAAACAATTAAATATAAATAAGAAAAAATTACGAAGTAATAAAAATATTATTGTTGTTAATTATAAACCAGTATTCGTTCATTCTCGTCAACAAAAATCGACAGAATCAAAAACAATACGAACATGTCCATCAACTAATGAAAAATTTTCATCAATAACTCATCATAGTCGACAATCTAGTGTTCCAACAATGCTAAATCAATCAAAAACAAATCATACTTTAAATCGAGAATCATTTTCATTTGATGTACCTGATGTTGAAGATCCATTATTGTTTATTGAAATGATGTATCAACAATTATTTACTGAAGATGGAAAATTACGTAGTGAAACTGAACCAATTGTTTTAGCAAATCGTGTTAAAGAACTTATCACAAAGTCTAGAAGAAATTCAATGGTACGAAGAGATTCACTAACATCAAACGTTCATCAAGATAAACGTTTGTTAACACCATTTACTCATTCAATGTCATCAAAACGTACATCAATATCATCACCTTCTTTCTTAACTAATACATTCGATAAAGAAGAAGAAGAATTTAATTTATTATTACTGACAAGTAGAACTCCTGATACATCCAGACGGTAATACAATTATAATTTATCTGCTTTTTTTGATATTCAGTTTTCTTTCCTTTTAAGAAATTCCAAACGATTAAGTATAGATAGTACAGATCCTCGTCTACAACGACTTCAAGCATTTTTTAATCCGTGTTATCATCATCAAAAACCAACATCAAAAAATCAAATTATAACCAATTCTAATTATCCTTTTTCTATTGATGATACTGATAATGAAGATTTTGATACATTTTCAGATTTCAATTCTTGTCTTAAAACAATGTATACATCATTACCAGAAAGTATTGATGGAGACTCAAATCTTATTGATTCTAAACACTTATTTTCATCTGGCTATCAATCATTACAATCTTCACAACTAGTTAAATATAAAATACCTTCAGAAAATGATCATTATTATTGTCCGAATTGTATACGTGTTCCAGAAATTGTTATCACATCTCCGACAATATCATTAAATATAATTCAACCAATACGAGATGTATTTATAAAATTTCTCAATTTCGTTTGTATTTCAAAAAATACTTTTCTTCTACCGTTATGCATTTTCTTTTTTCGTCAACGATCCATGTCAATACCTTATTAGAAGAAAAACTTCGCTAAATCTTATCCGTCCAAGACATAAACTTTCTTTTTTATTTATCATCCTAAATTTGTAAATTTTCTCTTTTCTATATCTATATAATAATGTAACCATGAAAAAACTAACAATAACAGTAGTTGCAGTGATGTATTGATTTAAGCGGTTATTTTTTTATCCTGATATATCTGAAGTGTTCTTATAGATTTAATATAGTTAAAGTTACATCATTGAATATTAATAGAGAGATTCTTCTCGTACTGCTTTAAAGGAACTATTGCTTATGAAATCATAATGTGATATAAAATAATTGTACGAATATGTTCTTAAAAACATCAAATGTATTGTCATCCATCAGCTTAATAAAACCATTAAAAAAGATGAGAAAATTCTTTTATTCAACGTTTATCAAAAGTGTGAAATAAGATTTGAATATTTGATTCTAATGTATACCCCTCTTAAGATGAGGCAGCTTAAGATGAAACTTACATTCTTTTATCCATTCATTGTGGTCAGCCATCACTGTAAACATTGACGTTAGAAAACTTAGTTTCAATGCATCACGTGAGATTACAAGATGTGTAACATTTTACAACTGACATCAAAATAAAAGTAATTCTTCAAACTACGCACCTTTCCTCACCCACATAGAGTACTGTACCTGGTAATGTGAGTGCAGACTACGTATAACTTTAAAAAAAGAACGTATTAAGGTAGTCATTTGGTGTAAATAACATCAAATCATGATATATAGCTTAAGAAATATTGTTATACTCATGTGCGTAGCCGAGATTCATCAAACGTTGACTCTCAACCATATTTTAAATCTCACAAACAAGCATCTTTCTACATAATACTATCTAAGGGTATTTTTAACCCGTGTAGTAAAACTCATATTTCGGAAATTTATCGGTATGCAAGCAATTTTTAATAGGTTTTCAATGACTCTCGTTTATTCCAGACATACTTATAGTAGTATTCAGGACAATTTATTCTTTTTTTCTCCTCTCATATTGCAATAAAAATTGCATTTCACTCATAAATATATATAAGCTGCACAGGCTAATAGAATGACTTCACAAAAGCAGTTATGTGGGTGTGGGTGTCTAAAAGATACACGCCCACACCTACATCCACACGTTAGTTTTTCTACAGCTGATCGACATATTTTCGAGACTTGCAGTTTATTACAATACACTAAGTAAAATGTGTCGCATGTGTCGTAGTTTTGCGCCACAATGTGTGACACATCAAAGTGTGATACGAGGTACTCGCTGCAACAAAAGCTGTTCAGCAACTATGCAAGACGTTCTTGTACGACACATGCAATATATTTTGAAAACGTGATTAAAATCCACTCTCCAGAGTATTTGTCATTTTTTCTGCAGAAACGAATAATTAGTATCTTCTCTGTTTAATTCGAGTTAGTGATATGTTTTTTTAAAATTCATAATGGACAGCTCTTGAGGTGTAGTCATCTCGAGTTCCTCTAGCATCTATCAGACCACTTTAGAATAGCCCTTTTCTGCTCATTGGTCGATCCTTTGACATGTTCTCGAGCAATAACAAATCAAGAAATAATCTAGAAACAAGGACAGAAAAATACATAAGTTTAGTGTGTGCAATTCAGTTGACTCTACGTAGCTGTATACGCAAAACAAAACAGCGAATGCATAGTCAGGAGACGGTCGCGGTGCATTCATAATACGGCACACTCTGGTCACAGCACATTTTTGTGGTGGATTCAGGGGTACTATGATTAGCGACACATAAATGTTAAACACTTTATTTCAGTGTGAAGGATCTATCGAAAATTGTTTATCTTTGGTTTCATTTAAACATGTATGCATTGATGGAATCTGGTACACTGATAACAAATATCAGTACGTTCAGCATTAAAAGCCTTCTAATAAAGTAGAAAAAGTATCCTTATTTACATGCCCATTTGATTTAAGATCCTTTTGTTACCGATATGTTCTTTTCCACTGGTATATCTAAAGCTATGAAAAACAGACTGGTAATAGCTAAAAGAAAGAAATGTGCTCGAATATAAACTATAAAAGCTGACTGTTATCAAGGTTGCCCATGAAAAGAAGGATTAGCTTTAAAAACCCTGTTTTTGTTCACCTTCAACAAAAACTGTGAATGTCGAAACCTTCTGAAAGAAGACTGAAGCCAGAGTAGAAAATTGGACTAAACAAATTATTTTTGATCCTTTATGGCACGACAAATTGCAAATATGTAAAAGAGGCTGATTCAAGGTTGCTCAGGGGTTTCTGGAAAATTTTGTCAAAAATCTTACAGGTTTCAGTGGAAAGAAGGTTCACTATTGTGTTCAGCACGTAAAAGAGTTTCTTTCTAAATTTTAAAATATGCTGCGAATACTGATGCAGTTATTTTGTAGTTCTCTTCGTTTGTGTCGATCAGGTTATGCCATCATAGACTTAATCACAGAAATCGATATTTCGATTGGGCATATCGGTAATATGTGGTGTAATAGACAGCTATGTTCAAAGCTCATTTGATGCACTGAAGACAATGATGAACTTAGTTTCCGTCGGAACTCGCAAGATTCTAGAATATTTTTCTAGAGAATACTCAAAAATCTTGAAACATGATACTTTGGCTTTTCAGATCCGTTATCCAATGTAGCATGGCAGATGACCTTCTAATCCGAATTTCACCCAACTTCTAGTCTTCTACCGAGAGATTTCGGAACTGACAGCTTTTCTAGTAGACAGAGAATAGCAAACTTAAGGTTGATACTCATTATTGTCATATCTGATCATACCGCAGACAGCATTTATAGTTCGCATTAAATTGAACTACGCTGTTCTAGCTATTACAAATCTCTTTTTGATAATGTTAAAATAATTAATCGAGAGGATACTTGAGCGAAAAATGGATCTAAAGTCGAAGAAGCACCTAAAATACTATTGTGTTTCTTGTTTATTACAAGACTGTAAGTAGTGAGATTACTGATATTTATAATTATTGCACTTGAATCTATCAATGAATATGTTTCAATAGAATCAGTGGTAAAGCATTTACAAAGATCTGTTTGGGAGGTCATAAAACCTACCAATTTTTCGATCAGCTATGTAAAAACTCACTTATAGAGTATCATCAAACATTATGTCTTATGAGAAGTGAATGAAAAAAGTAAAGGTTTTTCAGAACAGAAAAGCACTCTTATTCATCCTCATTCGTTGGATACCCATACTGTACAAATCGTGACGAGCATGCTGATTTTCTTTGATTGTTTGGGAATCCTCGAATTTTAGGTTTTCAGAGATTAAGTCGGCTTCATAGTGCTGCACATTTCAATCCTGTAGAGATTTCCGGAATGCTGTTCCACCTACAAGTACAGCACGTCAGATCACTATCGTCAGGATTGATTTTGTGTTATTATCACCTAATCATGTGCATAGTATCCAGTAGTCTCCAATGATTGCCAATCTTGCAGTGTGTCTCGACGTTCCTGTCCTTTCGCTGACTGTTCTCTTGCAACTTTGTCGAAGACCTATGTAGTTATGTTAGCAGACTTTTTTTTTTCTTGATTACCTATCTAAGATGTATTTTCTTCTGTATGTAATGTGAAAGACAACTGCAGATGAATGATGAGTATATAACCGAAAAGTTGGACTAAATCCTCTTGGTCTGAAGACCATTGAGTTGTATCACTTAAGTTTTTAAGTGATAGTAACGAAACATAATCAATGCTCTGTATGTGAGACACTTTAGACACGCTCTTGCTTATAATCGAATGGATGTTATGTCAATGCAGCTTTCTACTTCGCTTTAGTAACATTGAAAGATGTTTAATATTTTTTCAGCTGGAAATTTGTAAATAGATAGAAATGAAAGGACGAGATACTCTTGAATTAGTTTCTAAGGCTTTTGTTGTCATTTCCAATTGACTGTAGAGGATTATCAGTATCATGCTTAAGTAGTTTTCTTACTGTTTTCGTGTTCAGCCAGTCGTTATTCATTTACCGAACATTGATACTGTTTTTTCTTATAGTGTGCGTCTGCTTTCTGAACATGAAAACCAATATATATTGCTCCTTCTGACTGTATTCTATGTTTGTATGATATGTGTAGTGCAACACTATTTGAGGAATTGATCTCATTTCCTACGAAACTCATTGTAAAACTTGTCTACTGAGTAAATAAAAAATGAAATTCTGCAGAGTGCCTGGGAATCGTTTTTGAAAAACTCATTGAATAGTTTATGAAAATGTATCAGTATTGACAGTTATAATCTTTAAATAGAAGTCCGATGAAATGAATAGAAATATTAATGGTGAAAACGATTCTTATATTTTAAGATTAAGAACAAATTCGAAATGATTCTATTACAATTTTCACTTATGTAGAATAGCACATGTTGATTCTTTCGACTGTTGAGACGAACAAGGGAATAGATCTATCCGAATTCTTTTCGAAGTCATAAGATTTCATATTCAACATTCTTCTACGTGCCAATAGTGGCGAAATTTCGAGGAAGATAAGGCGTAATGGCATTAGCTGTCAATTATGTTCTGTGTTTCTTCTTGTTGCGTGCATATTTATTCATATTTATGACTTCTTTGTTATCTATGATGTTTGTTGCGCTTATTTGCTTTGTGTGTTATTTTTCGTTTGCTGTCAGTTATCGAGCAGTTTTGTTAACCATTACACTTCTTTTTGACTACCTCATTTAGTTATTTACTTCATCACTTTTTTCTTGCTTTATCTTATGTCATCTCTTACTGATTGCCATCATATCGTCCGTTTTCATCATTTTTTGTTCAATAAAATTGTGCATGTCCATTGTTCCTCCAATTATTTTGTCAGCACTTCATCATCATCATCAGTTACCTCAAGGTGGCCTCAGAGATCGCATCTAGTTGTATCTTGCCAGTTCAAGTCTTCCCTTCTCCCCAGAGCCTAAAGCCCAGCCACCCACAATCGAGTTCTGTGTGGCATATCAACTCTAATTGAAAGACAACATTTCAATAGCGTGAATATTGGTTGAGAATGGTACTTGATACTTCTTAGATAAGGAACCTCGAGAGCTTCTTCGCGTTCATGGACGAGATGTTGCGTGACAATCGTATTTTCAGAAGATTTTGTACACATAATGAATCGGAAGACAGTTTCTCGAGTGTTTGCTCATGCAGATATTATTTTCTTTGATCAGAAAAAACTCTTTCGTTGAGTGAACTAATTTTTCTAATAACTTCCAAACTTCCAGATTAGAGCTTAGCTGCCTTCAGCGGTGTAACAACATATGGTAAAGCATATATTTTTTTCATTACTGTCATGACAAGTAAGCTATATTATTCGTATTAAATTGTTCAATCTTTCGACTCAGAATTCTCAATTAGGTTACAAAAAGTTACTAACTACTACGATACAGTGTAAAACGTGAAAGAATTGGCTGAAGTTACCGCTGTACACATGGCTTTCTTCTAATTTGATTCACAATAACTTCTCACTTTTGTTACCCAAATATTTTCAGTATGCTTCCATAACTGAGTACCTTTGGTGGTGAAATCTTCTAAGATATCGAGTGAATGTAAAGGAGAAAACTTTCCTCGCAGCATTCAAAGCGAACTCAACAATTCTAAGGAATTCGAAAAGACTTTTTTCCACAAATTGTTTTGAAAACTTTCCGCATCAGTTAATGGATCTTTTTCAGAAAAGTTCGACGCCAAGATATAAACACGTTACTTTACTGTCAAATGATTGATTAAACCGTCAACAGTTTACATGTAGAAACTTTGATCCTATACGAGTAGCTCCTTAAAAAAAGCACTACATTTTATGAAGTTCACATGTACAGAATGTTGTAATCTCAGTAGGTTAAAATACATTGGCACTAGGCCCTATCTACCAGCCTGCTTCCACCACTACCCATATATCAACTCAAATCCTAAATACTATGTTACCAGGCTCCACAGCAAAAAAATTCTTTTCAAGGCTCTATTAGAATCCTATCCAGTTGGGTGTGGTGGGTGTGGGGTGTGCGTCAGCGTGAGCGTGTCTTCCCTTCATGAACACTCACACCCTTTTGTTGAATAAAAAGACGTTTTCATGAACAAAATAGTTTTAGGGTGTCCATCAGTTTCGGGCGTTTTCGATAATAATTATGGTAACCATAAGTTTTTCTTTTGTAAATTCAAAATGAAAACTAATAGTGTCGATCGACGTAGTTTTTCATGTCCTACCAAATGAAATATCGATCATATTTATCAATTAATTTGTACGCAGGACCAGTAAGGTACGATTCATAGTACTTTTATATCAGATAGGCAAGTTTTCCTGCTTTTCTAGCCTGCTATTGTGTTTAAATACCAAATTAGTACTAAAAATCTTAATGATCAAAAACTGTGCCATGTCGGGCTCTACTAGCATATTCGGGATCAGTACATGAAAAAAAACATGTTATATTGTCTATATTTCAGCAAAATTAGTATTTGACGATAAACGTATCCCTAGGAACCGACTTAATGAGGGAGATGACATCGATGTTTTCCATAAAAAAAGCTTATTTTTGTTGATCAGAAGTCATACGTCTTCTAGTCAAAGCCTTCGATCCATCTTCTTAGCAGTATCTGTGAAAAAATCATACTTTTGCATTTTTCCTATGTTAAAAAGGAATCATTTTTTCCGATATGTTTTTTATAAATTGGATAAAACACTTCAGAAAACATCTTAGCAGAATCCACAATATATAATTCGATGCAGCTTCACTTCCTCTTTCCATAGGTGAAAACCATAATGCTCTATGGTGCCTTTATCAAAAGTTACTCGAGAAAATATTCACTCACCTTTATTTTTTTTTTTTAGATAGGTATTTGCATTCCAATTAGAAATAGTTATATAAATCGATTTCAAATGTGTGAAAGATACATGGATTAAAAAATGAAAAAAAGAAAAGGAATTACTTTATTACTTTATGAGATAAAATTTTTGTGGTAAATGATTTTATCATAATAAGAGATCAACAATGAAAGTTTTTAGGAATTGACTTAAACGAACAAAGAATGCTTTTGAAAAAAAAAGAAAATAATAATAAACAACAATATTTAAACACAAACTTTGTATTATAATACAATTGGATTCTATCGAAATGCTCTATGAGTACTTTCACAGTCATTACGAACTTTATAGATTCATATGAAGCTGAATATATTTTTCTTTGATTTTTATTCTTTACAATGTTCTGTTTGTCAAGAATCTGATGATTCAATCCTCTCTAAAAAATAGAAATTGAAATGTATGCATAAGATTACAAAAAATACATGCTTACAATTAACCGAACAAATATCAAGAATATAACTGAAATTTTAATTTTTTTTCGAATAAATTCTCATTAAACTTGAATGAAATTTCTATAGTCTAAAATGCAATTAATCGTCTAGCTTATTTTAAAATCTCCAGTGACTTTTTAGAGTATCGCTGTCCATGCCATTAAAATACCATTACTTATGCTGATTTTTCTAGTACTACTAATAAATCGTCAATTATTCGCGGTATTTCAACAACAGTGACCTAGGATTATTATTAGAAACTCTTATGAATACAATAATAAACGTTGTTGTATAAAGAAATTTTCATACAGTGGTTGTTCATCAGATAATATCGAAATTAAGACACAAGCTTGAAAAATTACTTGACGTTGGAACTTTTGCAAACAGAATGAATTTTTGTTCGACATGTTGTCTTTTTTCTTCAAAGTTTTTCGATGACCTTTCTCACCTTCTACTTAAGAAATATGCTTTTTTCAGAAAAAAATGCAGCAAATCTTTTCTATTTTTTCCGATCGCGTATCCCAGAATTCTCGAGTCTGTGAAGTTGCAGTGCTCATTTTTCGAATTAAGCTATTTTATTCTTAGAAAGGAAACGCTTCTACACGTTAATAGATGATCATTTCAGCATAACTTCCGTTGGAACTAAAATATAGAACTCACATGTAGTCTTGATTATCATTATACTAGTACAAGATACATCAAGTGAAAATTCTATACCGTATATAGTTCACCGTCTTTTTCCGTTGTTTATAAATTCAGGGAAAGAAATTTGATAGCTGTTTCCTTGAGTGCTACATCATAAAATCAAATAAATTTACTTTTATGATTATCGTTCAATTTGTTTTCGAAGTGTTCTTAGACAAAGACTTCAATGAGAAAAAAAAGTTAACAGTGTTACTTGGAGTTCGGTATAAATCTCACTTGACTATTAAAGTTATTTGTAGATGCTGATCCCTGCCATATCTATTGTAAAGCGTTTGTTTCTAAACTAATTCCTTTACTGGACTGAAGAATATTGTCAAATATTATTCGGCATGAATGCCTGTTGAAAACAAATATTTTGATTAATGCTTATAGAAGTTCAATCATAATAACTTGTTTATAAGAGAAATATTCTAGAAAAGTCTATTTTTGATAGCGATAAAGTTTGTATTTACTGTTATTCGAATTCTCTTTCATTTGAATATTTCTTTTTAATCAAAAAAATATAACATCAATTAACATTTATGATTATTTATTTTTTATTTTATTTACGTTATATAAATAGTAAAATACAATTATTAGTTAAAAGCTTTACGAGTATAAATTTAGTATAAAAAAAAAAATTACCAACCAGGTCTTCTTGGAGGAATAACAGGTGAACCAGCACGTGGTGATAATGGTGGTACATTAGGAAATGGTTCGACATTCATATATGGCATTCCTGGGCCAGCAAATGGTGAACCTCGACGATGACGATAACGTTCATCATCACCACTTGATGGTGATCTACTACCACGACGACCGCGTGACTTAGATCGATGACGAGAGGAATGACGTGAACGAGATCGACTATATGCACCGCTTCCAAAAGAACTAGGACCAACAAATGGAGGTTGTTGTCCATAAGGAAAAGGCATTTGTGGATTAACGAAACCACCACCGTACATTATAGGACCATTAAAACCTGGACCAAATGGAGCAATTATTGGTGGTGAAGTAAAGCCTGTAGGAGGAAATGCGGCACCAGGCATAGCATTACCAGCTGGGAATGGACCACTAGTGTTAAAGTATCCTGCAGGATTATTAAATTGTCCATAACCTGATTGTGGTAAACGACCTGAATATTGAGATATCATACCGTTATCAAAAGCGTTTCCACCAAATGAATTCCTAAACATAAATATCAAAAGTTTATAATATATATTTTTTAACTTTGTACTTACATTTTGTATTAAGCAAATAATAATATAATGATAATTCAAATAAGACCAACTGCATATATATATTGGTTTTTTGGCAGATGAATCAACTCGTTTAAAAAGTGAAGTCAGTGATGCATGCGAATAATAAAGATGAATAATGTTTATAATCATATCATGAGTAACATAAAGGTGGGCATGCACGTCTTTTTTCTTATTCAAACTTCTCTCGTATTATTCAAGATAATGTATGATTGTTGCTGTTTATTTTAGGTATAATCTTAGTTCAAGACTTGTTCAATGATGTACATATTTATGTAGTTTCAATCGATAAACAATTATGAACCTCATCTTTTTTTATCATTAAAAACATATTTCATATTAACTGCATATCATATAATTGTGATTACTGTGTTTACTATAAGGGTATGATGACAAGAACTGTTTCTGATCAGCCACATTATCTTTTAAAAGGAAAATTTGCGAATGTATTTGTTTCATTTACGAGAATTATCAAAGGCAACAAATGTTTTTTTAAATTTAAAAAAAAAAAACAAAAAATGAATTATGAAACATACGAGAAAAGTTTCCTACATGATTTATTGCTGTCGAGTTAATATCTCTTTGCAAAGTTTTAAGTCAAAATTTAATAATCGTTTTTTCTGGTTCCTGAAGGAGACCACGAAATACTTTCGCAGTAATTAACGAAGGATCCGAATTCTTTTCAAAGTATTCATAGCTTATTGGATTCTACATGATCAAGGGTAACTACTAATTAGTTTTGCTGAAAAAAAAACAGATGATATTTTTTTAATATAGTACTTCATGAATAATATGTCTGTTGAGAACTACAAATTATCCAAACGTATGATTTCAATTCATCAATGAATCAAACCAAAGTAATATTAAATAAAATAATATAGAGATGACACATTGGCTATGATTTCAATAACATATTGAAAAAAAACTTTTTTTTTCTAAAAAAATATATGTCTATGTAGTACAAAATTTCAATATTTTCTTACATAAACCAGTCGACAAGGGAGCTTTTTCAGATTTCAATGAGATGTTTTTACCTATAATGACTATAAAAACTTAACGAAGCCACCGAATTTTGATCTGAAAGTTTGCGCATATCTAAAACCCAACTACACTCATCTATGGATACTGTATACAGCATGAGATTTTTGAAAGCTTCAAAGCTCGAAGAAGCTTTGTTCAAAACTTGTGAATTTTTTTTTTATTAAATTTATTAGCTTTGTGATGTAAAGATATTAAAATATTCATTGTTGTACGTCGATCAATTAAATATTTAGATGCATTCTGTTTTATGCTGTCGCTGTAAGAAAAGGAGAAAAAAATAACTAGTGGTCGGAAGTGTGACGTTCTGTCTTGTCGTGTTATCAACGAAGTCTACGTCATAAAAACAACCGCTTCTGCTTGTTTGTCTTTCTTCCTTTTTTTTTCTGTGTTTTACAGCTCGTTTTTCTGCTTCTAGCCTTGTCAACTTGCCATGATAAGTCGCCTCCGTGATTTTACGATAGAAAAAATGAGTCACATAGTCAGCCGCTTCAATTTACACGTAAATATTGCACTCATAAAATTATATTTGTCCATGTTTAGGACCAATCGAACAGAAATGAAATAGTGAGTAGCTGTAGGAGACATAAAATAGAGCCGAACTGTAATGTATACCGTTTGATAAGAAATTTAATCAAAATATTTTATTTTATGACAATTAATACGATATTTCTTTTGTCTAAGCCAAACCGAAATAAGTAAAAACTAAATAGACACTAATGGTATAGGCAAAATTGAATTTAGACAAAATTTTATTCTTTATTAAGCACAACGCTACAAGGTAATTTTCTTTGACTTAAAATAAAATTCTTATTTTTGCTTGTTTTAAGCAAATAAAGTAACGGGCATCGAGATACGATTTAGTGGGTCATAGGCTAATTGACTAGATATATACATGGTATCGTTTAAGTATAAACATACATTTTGCATTCTTATACCTAGATACGTTTATATGCATATTTCTATCCTTTCAGTCTAGGGAACAGTAGTGACGTAGTTTTTTTTTTCCTATTAGATAAAATATTCATTCTCATTGAGTCATATTGTAATGCATGCACTAATCGATTCGTCAACGTCGACGTCGAAAAATGATGTGCAAGAGTAATTTTTATATAAAGAAAAAGGCAATCAGTGTTTCAAATTCTTGGAGTATTGAAGTTCGACAATACTTAGTATTCTATCATAAATTCTTTATATATATCATCTATGAATTGCATTAAATTCGCAGATAGATAAACATCGATTTACAAAAAAGCTCACATATTCTATAACTTCCTATATTTCACTAGACTTCAATGAAACTTAAACATAACGAACGGCTCAACTCATATATAAAACCAATTCTTTATTCTTATCTTTTTAGATTTCTGTTTCAACATGGCTAAGGCTGTAGTTAGCGATTCTGAAGTTGATCTCAAAACATTTACGGATTGCATGTATTTTATAAATGGTCATTGTAAATTAAATGATAAATGTCGTTATCGTCATTGTCCAGAAGCTGCTGCACAAACAAACAATTGTTTTAAATGGCCAAAAGTATGTCGTGATACAAAATGTCCTTATCGACATCCTGCAATACCTAAACAACTAGAAAAGAAAAAAAAATCAATACCAACACCTCCAATTGTTAATTCTATACCATTACAAACACCACCAATAGCATTACGAAGAGAAGGTTTAATAAGTTTTTTTTGGGATATTGAAAATGTTCCTATACCAAAAGCACAAAAACCTTTTGATATTGTTCAACGTATTCGACAAAAATTAGTTATTGACGCTGGTTTAAGAGAATATAGTTTTTCATGTTATTGTAATACTACAACAATATCACAAGAAAATCAACTTAGTTTATTTCATGCTAATGTTCGTATTGTTCACGTACCAGATCGTAAAATTGGTGCAGTTGATCGTCAAATAATGCTTGAATTAGATCGTTTTGAACGTGCTCATCAACCTCCGGCAACAATTGTTCTTATTTCCGGTGATATTGATTTTGTTGGAAAACTAAGTGATCTTCGTCATCAAGCTGGATTTCATGTTATTGTTATTCATAATAAGCCAGCAAAAGAAGAATTAAAAGCAACAGTAAATGCTCATTTTCCATGGGAAGTTTTTACACAACAAGCAGGCAATGAAGCTAGTAATTTGGAAATGTTAACAAATGAAATAAGATCACGAACACCTCAATCATATCGAATGAATAATCAAAATAGTAATGGTCATCTACGTCAAACAGATCCATCACCGATTCGTTCGAATCCACCTTCTAAATCATCCCGATCATCTGCATCAAAAAAACTAACATATCAATGTCCAAAATGTACAAGTGAATTCGAATCCATTCAAGCTTTACGACAACATCAAGGAGCTAAAAATCATTTATTTGATTGTCCAATATGTGATGAAAATTTTTCAACATTTGAAGGATTAACTCAACATCAAAAAGCTAAAGATCATCATGAACCAGAATATAAATGTGGACAATGTAATCGTCGTTTTACTAAAATTGAAAGTTTAAATCAACATCAACAAGCTACTAATCATAATGGATTATCTAATCCAACATCATTAAATATTGATGGTTTTGTACGTGGAGCAACATCTTCATCAACATTACAAAAAAATAATCAAGTTAAGAATGATGTTGTTCAAGATGCAGCAATGATCATTATTCAAAAAGGTATTGATGCTCTTGTTCAACATTATCCAAAAATATTTCCACCAAAATAAATAAATAGAAATTTTTTTTTTTACTTTAATCATTCTTTTAGAATTGTTCATTCAAAAATATAGTAAATAAATTTCAAAAATTTGATTTATTGAAATTTTTGTTTTTGAATGAACAATCACATGCATCCTGCTATTCTACTTTCATGAACATGAGAGGTAAAAGAATGATTAAAAAAAAACAAAAAACTTTTTGATTATAAAATATCTTCAAATAAAAGGAAAAAAAAAGAATTTCTTTTCTTTTTATTTTGAAAGATAAATTTTTCATGTTTATTTGTTCTACATTATTTTGTAAGACAAGTAAAATATATATGTATATAATTTGCGATTGTAAGTTGGTCGTACTGTGTTTTTTTAATATATACATGTATATCAAAATTAAATCATTCGAATAATATTGCGTTAGACTTATCAACGTATGTGTTTAATTAATATCGATTGATTCAATTTCGTTATATATATGTATATAACTATTTAATCTAATTTTATGTAATCCTGATTATAATTAATAATAATAAATGAATATTTAACAATGTGTGTGGTCTTGTATTCATGCATTGAAGATCGTTCAATCATTGAAAAATCATCAAAAGTTATGTTGGATAATTTATTCAGCAGAAAGCTGATTCAATTAGTCAAAAAAGATCAGTTGACTTGAATATATATTTTCACTTGTGTCAATATATCGTGAAGTTGATGCTACAGGTAGAGTATAGAAAATTTCATTGACAGTATCAAAGTATTTTTCAATATATACCAAGTTGTCTGAAAATTTTTCTATAGGTATACCATTAGGTTTATCAAAAGCAAAATATTGAGTGATGTGAAAGTTTTAGGATTTTAATTTTCTAAGTGCACTAAAATCATCAAGTAACGATCTACAAATGATCTACGTTCAATGTTCTGAGGTTTAACCAATGATAATAAAAACGCCATTTTTTTTTGAAGAACTTGACGAGAGATCATGAGAAAAAAAACTGCCCAAAAACTCTGTTATATGCGATTCAATGCAGTTTTACCTCTTTTTTTTTTAATCAGTGAAAACTGCATATCTATATCTTGTGCTTATCAAAAATGATTCCAAAAATACTTACCTTTCTGTTATTTTGAAATGGATGCTAGTATTTACACGATAAAAAGCAATGTTATTGATGAAGTTTATGTTATATCCGAAATTCATATTTGAATACTATATGTAAGATGCTAATAACAGTGAAATTTTTGGTTCTTATTAGTTTAAAAAAAGAATTTAATTATTAAGTTGTTAAATCCTGGAAGGAATAAGTGATACATTTGTAGTATTATCGTCGCAATGCAACTATAGTGCATAAGCAGATTTTGTTTATCAAATGTCGCGAATCATGATACTTCAGTAGGAGTATTTTACTTTGAAATAATTAACAAAAATGTTATATTTTTTAAGAAATGTCAAGTGATACTTTGTAATGAAAAGTAACATCAATTTCGTACTAGTCACCCTTTGTGTTTGATGTACTAATGTAATCGACTTCCTACTGAGTCAGCTAAGTAGTTTCTTCGTAATATCACGTTCAATTAAATTTCAAATCTGTTCATTGCGAAGAAAATAGTATGAATGTGTCACTGATTCTCCTCTACATCTAGTGATTTATAATTCAACTTTTTAAATCAAACACTCTGGCTAAGTTATTCTATCCTGCATGTGTCTACTAGTCTTAGTTTATATCTTTAAATGTTTCCCAAATAGTTTATCTGAATATTCGCTGGAGACTAATATAAATATCCATATTGGTAAGTTTCTAGACCACATGTTTTCTCACAAATAAATAACAGTGAGTCTGGTTTTAATGATATTTTTTTATTCAATGAATCATGTCTGATTTAGGTAAACAATAGAATGCTATTAAGGAAATTCTATTGAAGAAGGTTATTGAGGACACAGCAATTGATTATATAAAACTATCTGATCATTTTTTTTTGTGTTTTTTTTTTATTGAATACAGTAATATCAAAAGCTGAAGCTTTAATTGAAATCTTTTTATCCAAAAAAAAAAATCTTTATTTCACGAAAAGAAAAGAAAAAAAAGAAAAAGCATTACATATAAAAGAAAATCACGCTATAAATCGTGAATACTTAATATTATTTGTTTGATTATGCAACCGTTGCCAAATGTTTCTATTCTCATCAATAAGTCGAACCTGTCATGTTTGAACAATGACACGCAAAAAAAAGAACGAAATTTTGAGCATATACACAAGAAAAAAGAAACGACACTTTGTTAAAAAGAAATGTGCATTATAGTGACTAGATAATATTTAAGTTTAAAGAACATTTTACATTCATCAAAGTAGTATATGAAAATGATTCTATTAAATCATGTTTTTAATGGTCGATTTTGTTCATCTGATACATAAAGTACATTCGTCGAACTTGTATCATATCGATATGTATTATTTGATGATGAACGTATTTGGGAATCAAGATTAGTTGTTAAACTATTTGATAAACGTTTTGTTAATGAATTAAATTTAGAATTTTTATTAACTATATAATCATTTTGTTCATCATCATGTTGAACAAGTGTAACATAACAATTTTTTGAGGATAATGGTAATGCTGGTTCGTCACTATCATCTTCCATTGATGAACTATTATTTAAATTATTATTTGCATCTTTTATTTCATCTGATGTTGATTGGTGTGATAATGGACGTAAACGTTTCAGAACAATAAATAATGCAATAAGAGTAAATAATGTTAATCCAAGCATTGTTGTCATCATAATATGAAGACGATTTAAAAGAGTAGATGCAAATATTGGACCGACTATAAATAAAAAGACAATAAAATGTAACATTTTCATTTTATATTCTTATGATAAGATGATCTATTTTATTTCTAGTCAATTTGTCCTTAGAACTTTTCCTAATGACCTAGCTGCGTAGGAGACAAGAACGATTTAACAAACTTTGAGCAACTTCCAGAAGTATAACATGAAGGTCTCTACTCTCTCTCTTTGCAGATATGATCAGGGTGACTGGAGAGGGAACTTTTTTGGGTTTTAAGCTGTTTTTCAACTGAAATGATGATCATTTGATGAGTAATAGAAAAGTTTAGAATGCATCTTCATTCTCGAGATATCGAACTTTCACGATTGTTTTTCAACAAAACAATTGTGATCATATGAAAAATCGACTATTGACTTCAAACTTTGCATGAACAAAGAAGTTTTAGCGTTTCTAATATTTCTTTTATGCGAATAAAAATTTGCTCTTACACATGAAAGAATCTCGAATATTGAATATCTCAAGATAGAAGATACTAGAAAAACTAAAACTTGCTCAATAAACTCATCTGATTAAAAGCCTTGTTTGTAAAAAGTTTAAAATTGAAGATTGATTTTACACACGACTACCTCTTTTTTTTTGAAAACTACAGTTAAATTTAGATACCTGAAGAGTAAAGATTCACAAAAACAAACTATTCTAGATTTGTCTATTACTGATTAAATTAGCATTGTCTCGATCGGAAAACGATTTGACACCTCGAAAGACTCATTCATAAGTCTCTTCTAAAATTTTGTTCCAGGTGTATTACTAGACGGTAAGCCTCCTATTCAAGGTATGAACAAAACGAGGTAATCTTCTTAAATGATAAGAAGCTCCTGAGTTGGAATCTTTATTACACATTAGATAAGCATAGAATAAAAGATGATTAAAAAGATATTAACATAAGTTATGATTTAATTGATATATCAGGTCTTCTCATTATAATATTTCGAAAATTCATTTTTCAAAGTTAGTTCAATATAGATATTTATGTGGCCAATGTTACAAAAATACGTCAAGTAAAAAATCGTTATCTAAGATAAATCATCACTCATATCTATAGACTTTTAAAGCTTTGCTGTATATATATATATATATATTTATTTATATCTCCTCGGTTCGTTATCAATTGATGAAGTTTTCTCGTCAAATATGCCTATTTCTTGATTAGTACCTTTCATCATTACATAATGTTTCTTACACAACAGTATAGCTGCTTTTAGAACTGCTGACTGTTATATTCGCATAAAATAATAATGATTGACAACTTTCTTATACTTACTTATTGTTCCAATGCCCATAATTAATCGTTGAATACCTTGTGAAAATCCTTGTAATTCTTTAACAGTTAATTTGGTAAATAATGATACACTAGTAGCTGCTAAAAATGGTAAACCAAGTAAATCAAGAACAACGAAAATCATAAACATTATAAATAAACGTTTATCAATAACACCAGTACTTGATTTACCGGACCAACCATATGAAAGTGATGCCCAAGTAAAAAATGCACCTATTGTACAGGCAAGTGTTAATGATATAAAACCAAATACAAGTAAAAATCTATCTTCAAAACGTTTTGATAGAAAAAATACAAGTAATAAATAAACACAAATAATTTCTAAACCAGCAAATGCAAATAACATAGATGTATGAATTGTATTCCAATTAAAATGTTTTTCTGTGAATGCAGCTACAATTGTTTCTAATGCTGTTTGATTGAAATAAGCAATAAATGTAACACAAAATAAAACAAACATTTCAATACGCATATATTGATTCAAATAAATTTTATATGATAATTTTTTTTCTTCTTGTTTTAATGGTTGATCCGATCGTATATATTTATGTTTCGGAGAATCATTTGATGTTGATGGTCCTGTTGTTGTTGATGGAGTTCGATCATAAAAACAAAACCAACAAACAATATGAAGTGTTAACCATATAGATGTCATTAAAAATCCTGGACCATTGTAATGATTTACATGAACTGAACCTAATATAGATTTCATTGAAATTTTCATAGGAAAATAAAAAAATTAAGAGAACGAACCTATATGAAAATTCATCATGCGAACAAGAAGTGTAAAACATGGACCAATTAGTAGACCTAGAAAAAGAAATTTACAAAAATGAAATAACATTAACAGCTGACACCCATCATTTAAATCTGTTGACTAACTATTTGACATAAGGAAGAAAAATTACTTTCTTTTATGATCCATAAATTTCTACGTTTTTCATAATGGATTTCTCAAATGATACAAAAAAAAACCAATAGTACTTACCAAGTTGTCGACATCCAAGAATAATAGAAATTGCTTTGGTACGATCTTTTTCTGTTGTACGATGAGCTACATCCGCAAGAATCTATTGATGAACATACACAATATTAATTAAAAAACCAACCAAACAAGAAAACACAAATCCTTACTGGTGGTACAGCGCCTAAACCAACTCCAGCTATGAATCGTCCCAATAGAACAATATGAATATTATTGGTAACAAAATATAGAATATTTCCACCTATTTCAAATATACTTGATATTAGTATAAGAATTTTAACTTTGCCAGTTATATCAGAAATTTTTCCCATAATTACTCCAGCTATTGAACCAGATATACTATAAGAAGAAAGAATTAATCCAACATAGACATTAATATTTGTCATTGTTTTAACATAATCAAATGCAGTTGGTAAAATAACTGCATATTCAACACCGGTCATAAAGCCAAATAGACATATGGTACCGAATGTTAACATAACACGTCGATGTCCATGTGTCCAACGAAAAAAATCAGCTGAATGTGTTATTGATGATGTTGGTTCTTTTCCATCTTCATCATCTTCAATTACATCGCCAAGATGTACAGATGCATTTTTTTTATTAATTATCGGTGATGAACTGATGTGATGATCTGCATTGGAATATTTATTTATATGTTGATCGTCAGGAAGTGTATGTTCACATGATGATAGTGCATCTGATTCATTATGATTCAATGATGATCGACGATGTGAGCCGGTTAAAGATGGATGCATGTCTTCGTTAGTATCTAAATCCAAACGAAAATAGATATATATTAATCACATAGACGACCTGGTTAACTATAAATCTTAATCGTACTCGGAAAAAAAATAGAAATAAGAACTTATTTGACTTGTTAACCCTACGTGTTATTAGGTATCATTACATTTATTATTCATCATAAGACAAATAGTACCGTATTATAGGTAATCAAAGATGAAAAGAGAGACAAAAATAAATGTATTGTGAGGAGCCCAAACGAGCGATTGGTAAACCAGCATCAACAATAACAGATTTTTCTTTTCTTTCTCGTTCGGTCGATGCATCGTTTGTTGTGTTAGCTACGTAAGAAAAGGAGAATTGTGTATATGGTAAAAGCACATGAATTTTTCGGACGAAGTCTTTTTCTTTTTTCTTTTTTCTTTTCTATGGAGATTTTATCGAAAGAACGAAAGAATTTATGAGTTCAAGATCGGATACATGTAACTGTATAAATTTGATTAGAATAAAAAAAAGACCACCGAAAACAAAAAAATAAAAATACGATTGAGATAAGGACTAATATTGGTTTTTGAAAGAATAAAAAGAAAACATCATCGACATCAATGAAAAACATCTATGGATGTAATATGAAAAACAAAAAAAAACCATTTAATAATTTTACTTATAAGATTTATAACAAAAAATTAATACCATAATAAAAAACATCCGTTTTTGCCGTCTAAGAATATACTATGAAATCAAATCACTACAATTGTTTCTTTTCTTAATCTTTAATTATAAAAAAAAGAAAATATCAATAAACTACTAACCCAATATGTAAACCATTTATCATTGAATACTAAAGTTATTTCTATCGAGAGGAAAAAATAAAATGAAATAATTATTGTAGTTAATACTTAATATAAATACAAGTCAATCCGTTCTTTTCGTCAGTCTCACCTGATTGCTTTTATTCACATGTGTTATTATTGTGATGACAAATTTATATTCCTTGTTTGAGTATTGTTGTTTATTTGTACTTATACAACGTTTGAATGTCATTTGAGTTAATAATTCGATTAAATCATCGATCGTTCTTGTATGAACAATGAAAAGTAGTGAATTAGAAAAAGTCAAATGTAATAAAACAAAGAAAAATAGTTATGATTGTCAGATATTATCTACAAAGAAATGAGAAAAAAAAGCGGACATATTTGTTCATCTATTTCGTATAATACCAGTTCATGCCTAGATTTAAGTCATAAAGAACCAATTTTTCTTTTTGTTCACATGACAATAATAATAATAGTAGTAATAATAATAATAATAACAAAGAAGCAAAAGAAAAAAAAAGTAAGTTTAACAAGACAATGACATAAAAGGATTTTTGTTTTTTTTTGTAAATTGCTTAGCTGTTCAAAACCGTGAGAACCAAAAGAAAGAGATAACGGATCTTATTAGAACCAAATGAAAGAAAAAAAAAATTGAACTATACAATAAAAACGAAAATGACAACTAACAACAATAGTATAGTGAAAAGAAAAAAGGAATCATCGGTCAAGAATATTAATCACCATCTTGTTAAAAAAAAACAAACAAACAAATTCCACTGTTCATCTTGTCCATGACATATTCGATGATGTTCGTCTATCAGTAAAAAATGAACGAAGTAATAATACAGTTCCAATAGCTACAATTATTATTAAAATAAATTGTCCTAATGACCATATTTGTACACGTTCTTGTAAATCTTCAGCTCGTGCACGACCAGTTGCTTCACGTAAACGATGATGTGTTTGATAATCAATACATGTTTCAAGATTTTGATGAATATTACCGACTTTTGATTCGATCTAAACAAATAAAAAATTTATATTTTGAATTAAAAATCATAGATTGTATTTTTTTCTTGTTTAACAGACCATTGTTAATGCACCTTCAGCAACACGTGGATTTGCACCAGTTATTTCATGTTCACGGTCACCATCAACTCTCCAGTCTATAATAATAAGAAAGCATAATAAAATCATATTTCTGTTATTTTTTTTTGTCTCTATACAAACCAATATAAATAACTTTATGAGTAAATGTTGAAAATTCATTACTAAAACAAAATTCATAAACTCCATCTTCTTCAGCCGTTTTTTCAATTTGATCATATTGTTTTTTTGTAACTTGATATAAAGTTTTACCCGATGGACTTCTTAATACAAGATCAACATCATAATTACCACCAGTTACAACCTATATAAGAAATCATCATGAACAAAATTATTTTTCTATGAAAAAATAAAAATAAAAATTTTTACCTGAAATTCTAATATATATTTTGAACCAACTTTAAGTTTTTCATTAAAACATTCTTTTGCATTATCAGGTAATTCAAATGTCAATTCATTAGAATGAATATATTTGAGAATAAAGACTATTAATAAGAATGAAATACGTAATGATGTGGTTAACATTGTCTAAAAAATAAAAAATATAAAAGATTAGTTGAATAGATTTGTATAGTACTTTTCAACCATTGAAATATACACGCAAACACGTTTCAAAGCTATTAAATCAACCAATCAATTTATTACGACCACATCATCATCAATTGCCATTGATGTTGTCTTTCACAATCATTCGTCGGTCGTTAGGATATTTTATTTTAATGGATGTCGCCATATGCATGTCTTGCCAAGCAACGAATGAAAAATTGATTCAAGTAATGGAAGTATTTATGTGCTGAAATAAGAAGTAATTATTATTATTATTATTGTGGTAGATATGGATCCATTATTTCAGGCGATTAGTTTATTTCATCGTCGTCAATATGAATCATGTATTGAAATAGCAAATCGTTTATTGGAAAGAAACCCTAATGATCAAGTAAATTCATTATATATGTGTCTATGTGTATATTATAACTATTCGTTCTATGTCGTGACTTCATCGAAGACTTGTAGAAATATTCATTTGAAAGTTTAGGTAGCATGGCTACTCAAAATGCGTGCATTAACAGAACAATTATATGTTGATGAAACTGAAGTAGCTGATGATGGTCTTGCTGATATGTTAGATGAAAATGCATTTCATCAAGCTCCTATGCCTGGTACATCAATGAGACAGCCAACAGCTAATCCAAATACTGGAATAAATGGACCAAGTCCAGCAATGAGACCAATGACTATGTCTGGTCGACCAATAACAGGGATGCTTCGTTTAAATACTCAATCGACACAAGCTGGTAAAAGTATGGAAAATGTATTAAAAACTGCTCGTACAGCAGCTACAGCAAGACCAGTAACAACAGCTACCGGTCGTTTTGTTCGACTTGGAACGGTAAGTAATTGAAAATAGAATTTTATAATCTCTTAAAACATTATTCGAAGTTAAATTTTCTAAGAGAGAAAATAAAAGAACATAAAAATTATTTTAAGTCATTAGCTGGTGTTAAATTAATTCCAAATTTAATCGGTGTATTATTTTGTTCATTATCACCACAAATACATCGACAATTAAGACGATATTCAGGCAAATTAATATATTCTTGAATATCACGTAGAAATTCTAATGAATCATTTTGACATTTTGAAATTTCTTTACTTGCATCACAACAACATTTACAATCAACAAATGATACATTAAAATGATCTTTTAAATAACCATTTAATACTTTTGATGATTCTTGATTATGATCATTTGTAGATGTTTGTTGAGATGAAGAAGTATTTGTTGAATTTGAGATACAACTCATATTCAATTAAATAAAATGTGAAAAGATATTTACGCGCGTTAAATTCTTATTTTCTTTTTAGGCTTCAATGTTAAGTACACCTGATGGACCATTTATTCAAGTAGGTCGACTTAATCTACCTAAATATGCACAAAATCAAGCTATAGCTCGACCACTTTTCGAACATTTATTTTACCATGCAAATGATATTCGAACAGTATGAATTTAATCATATGTGAAAAATTATAATTTTTAGTTGTTTTTTTTTTGTTTACTAAAGGCACTTCAATTAGCTACGCTTGCCAATGAAATAACGCAAAATAAAGATTGGTGGTGGTTAGTACAACTTGGCAAATGTCATCATCGGTAAGCATGTATTTAATTATTGAATATAAAAACTTATTCCAAATTGATTTTAGTTTAGATATGTTTCGTGATAGTGAAAAACAATATGTTTTTGCACTAGAAATTCAACCTATGGTTGATACATATTTATATTTAGCAAAAGTTTATCTTCGACTTGATCAACCATTACTTGCTATTAGTAAACTACAAGAAGGTTTAGAAAAATTTCCATATGAACCATATTTAGTACAAGCTATTGCACGTATTCATGAAGTTTGTCAAAAACACACCAAAAACCAAGTCATTTTTTTCTTAAAATTTTCATTGATAGGGTCTTAATGATATGCCACAAAGTATAGAATACTATCGACAAGTACTAAAATTAAATAATACAAATATTGAAGCAATAGCATGTATAGCAGCAAATCATTTTTATAATGATCAACCTGAAATTTCATTAAAATATTATCGTCGTCTTTTACAAATGGGTGTAACAACATCATCAATATTTACTAATATAGCATTATGTTGTTTTCATGCACAGCAATATGATATGATTGTTACTTGTTTTTTAAAAGCTTTAGCAAATGCATCTATAGATGATGAACAAGCAGATATTTGGTATAATATTGGTGAAATGGCATTAGTAAATATATACATTCAATCTTTATTAGATTGTTTTTCTTAATTGAACATATTTACTTTTAGTATACAACAGATATAAATTTTGCAATACAATGTTTTCGTTTAGCACTTGTTTATAATAATGATCATGCTGAAGCATATAACAATTTAGGTCTAGTGGAATTACAAAGAGAAAATTATGAAACAGTATACGTATTTTTGTTTTGAATATAAAATAATAAAGTGATCGTTTCCTCTTTTTTTTTTACTTACTCAGGGTCGAAGTTATTTACAAACAGCTCAAAGTCTCGCACCACATATGTTTGAACCATATTATAATTTTGCTAAATCAATGTATCAAGTATAAATAAAAATATTTATTTTTAAATAAATAGTATTTGAATATTTGTTGTTCGTTTTAGCAAGGTGATTTACAAAGTAGTTTTCGTGCAATCAAAAATTCACTGGATATATACAAAAATCATTCAGATTCAAAACAAATTTATGATGAACTTAAAAAAATGTTTTCAGAACTTTAACAAAATATTCTATGTCACATTGTTGTTTTAGTAATAAATGTAAACATTATTATATAGATATTCACATATAGTCAAATAAAAAACTAATTTAATCTTTTAAATGTTACATTCAAACGTCTTTAATTGTATTTTTCTGTTTTTTTTTCATCAAACTAAGGAGTATAAGTTATCCATTCTTTATATTATCATCTATTAAAACTTGTTATGCTTTGAATTGAGATGATGAAATTTTTTTTGCCTTAAAATTATTTCGGTTTTTATGTTAAAATCAACGCATTAATAATTTCTAATCATATTGCCAGTGTGGGCGTCAAAAATTGTCGTGTTAAGTCATGATCTCAAAAATAAAAAGTTGCATAACATGTATTCAACCGGAAAATGAAAATTTCGATAATGACTCGCCAGGAAAAAATGTAAAGCTTGGAAATTGTAGGACTTGATAGCAGGAATTCGATGACTAACTTTGCTCAATTACGATCACAACTAGAAAAATTTGGTTAATGAGTTTCTCCTGTCAAGCTTCTCCTATTTTCTCGAGTTTTTCGCTAGAAATTTACATATTTGAGGCGCCGAAATCATTAACTTGGGTTAGTATCTTTGGCTATTCGATTGTTACTAGAATGCTGATTTCCTTACCAAATGGCAAAGTTCTGTGATGTTTACTTTCTTTTTTTCAAACGTCGAGATAACGAAAATGTAGATATTAGGTGATGAATAAAAAAAAAGAGAATCAAACGATCAATCGATCGCATTCATCATAAACATGATGATATTTGCTAAAGGTCTTTTAGTAATGCTTATCACAATGACTACTTTTTCACTTCTTTTTTCTGACTAAAATCAGTTGCGTAATAGAAATGTAATTTTTCCGATTACAATACTCAAAAAAAAAACTTCATTCCAGTGAACTGAAAACAGCTTTTGGACATAACAGTTCTTTACTCGATATATATGAACGATTTTTTTTTTTTATATGAGATAATAATGTGTCTATAATCAATATTCAAAGCTTCATATTACATTTTGCAGTCAAGTGATACTTGATTGTCATCCAATAGTTTGACATGTTTTCTTCTTAGTAAGTAAATAGTAACTAATAAATATTTTCGAATGTCAAGCATTAAATTTTGTACATATTCATTAATATAAATCAAAAACACCATTATCAATTTTTCTTTCTATTGTTTATCAATGATATGTATATCGTTCGAAAGTTGTTTTGATTTCCTCTATACTCTCTTCTATATAAATATATATGTATACATATCACATAGGAAGCAATAATTTATTATTGATCGATTCTCATCAACTCTTGCAGTTGATGTCGATTTATCACAATCCGATTTATAAACCAAAGTGAAAGAATAGCAAGAATAAAACTTGTTACAATATATGAAAGTGTTGATTTAAATACTAACATAATATAACCCATAATAACCGATGAAAGAATTTGTGATGCAAAATAAGTACTGTCAAGTATACCTAAAATAGTACCAATACCACGTGTTTTTATAACTGGATTATCAACAAAGTAAATCTAAAAAAATTTCCAAAAATTAAATCAATATAAAAAGAAAAATGTTTTTCTTTTGAAAATTTAAATTATTACTTCTCGATTAGCATGATATGTCATAACAAGAGTATAAGGTATGGATGTTAACGATGCCATACCAAGACCAGATAATGATGCCATTATATTCACAATAATGATATTTCTTGAAAAATATATAACAAGCATAGATAAAGCAAAAATAATCATACTAAGTGAAAATGTTAAATGAATACCAAATCGATTAATTAATGGTTTAAGTAAGGGAGCATAAAGAGCACCAACAATACAATGAAATAATAAACCGTATGAAGCAGCACGTACACCTTGATCATATCTAACACGTTCAATAGATATTTCATCAGCACTTGGATCACCATTATAAACAGTTTGTCCAACAAAATCAGTAAAAAATAAATTAAATGTCATTATAGCTGACCTAAATATTTCATGAAGATAAAATCATTTATAATAACAACAAGAAAAAAAAACATATGTACAAACCATGAACAACATTCAGCAAGTGTTAAACGACGTAAAACAAATGGCATTGTTATAATAGTTTTAACTGAATTTGCTGTTGTATAGATAACATATTTTAAAACTTCAATGGGAAATATACTATGTACGATTTGTGTATCAGTAAATAATATTTGTTCATCAAAACTATCGTAAATTTTTTCATTAGCTGAGATTAAAGTACTGCAAAGTGTTATACAAAAAAATAATAATATAACAATAAATGTCAATTTTTCTTGTCCTTGTAAATAATTACTAAGAAATGATTCAGTCCAATCCGTTGCTGTGATTAAATAACCTAAGCATCCACCTACATAAAAAAAAACATTGTTGTTATTAATTTTAAAATTCGTATTTTTTTTTTGTTTACCAAATGACGTCATGAAGGAATAAACAAAAAAACATGAATTTTCTTGAGGGGTACCTTTACATACATCGTAAATTAGTGATTCACATGGATTAAAACAAGCTTGAGCAGAAAAATCGAATAGAACACAAGTGATAACTAATAAACAAAGACCAAGTTTTGGAGCATGAAGAAGTTCGCCTAATATAATAATAATAGTTTAAAAGAAATTAAATCAGAGTCCTTTTTTTTTAATCGTTTTACCTATTGATTCACTTTGTGGAATTAGCATAAGACAAAAAATAATTGTTAAACAAAAACCAAGTATAAATGGACGACGTTTACCATAACGAGATCGACAACGATCACTTGCATGACCAACAACTGGACAAAGAAGAAATCCTAATAATGGACCACAACCCATTAACCAAGTCATTAATGATTCTGAGATTCCCGCTTTGAGTAAAATGGGTGGAATATAAGTAAATGCAGATGCAGTACAAAATTCTAATCCACATACAAGAGATGTAATAATAAATAAATGAAATAAATCATGATTATATATTGATTGTAAATATCTCATGTTCACTATAAACTCATGAAATTCATGAGGTACTTGCTATTTGTCGTTAATCACAAGGTCATATTTGTCAAGGAAAGTGAACGCAGTTTTTTTTTGTCCCATGCATGTGCGCATTAATACAGCGCCTTTTTTTTCTTGTCGTATTCTTTTGTAAATATGTATTTATGGATGTGATGCGGTCACTGAAAAGAAAAAGAAAGAAAAGTTACTTGTCAGAACGCGAGAAAGAAAGAAGAACAACAAACAGGTCATAACTCACTGAACAGCGAGGAAGCGTTGATAAAAAAATGTGTTACCAACGAAGGGAGAATATGGCCAATGGATTCCGTTTATACTCCATACTTATTTTTTTTTCTTCTGTTCTTATGAAGTAGAATATCAGTATATCTCCAATTGGTTCGATGCGAACTAATAGACACAGCTGCCGACTCTACTATGTACTATAATGATTCTCACTTTGTTCTTATATTGACTTTCTTCTATCTTGCTTTACTGTATAAGCGCCTGAATGAATGTAATATTCTCATACGAATACATGTAAATGTATTATCAAAGTAAAAGAATTCGAACAATGTACGATTATATTTCATACACTTATGTTTTATTGTCATTCAACAATATGTAAACGAACAAACATAAAAACAATATTGACAATCAACGATAATTTGTCTGCTTCTTTTGTTTAATTTTGAAAAACATAAAAATTTAAATATATTTATTTAAAGATCACTTAGTTGAATAAGGAACAATATATGATTGATTTCCATATGGTATTGGTGGTGCTTGAGCAACTCGTAGACCATGTTTTGGAGTATGAATATCCATTGTTGGATAAACTGTAATATCACGTTTAGTATATTTTATTCTACATACAATAAAAATAACAATATAAATGATGGTTAAAGCAAAAGCTAGACCAGCACAACCAATTTGAATTTCAAACAAGAATTTTTTTGAATCATAAATTGTATAGCTTGAAAATTGTGGTATCTTTTGTATAATATAATTGATTGATGTTAATTGTGATTGTGTTGAACATGTTGATGTTGAAAGACATATATATGGATTAAGAATAAATAGAATATCAAATGCAATTACTACACTAAGAGCTACTAATGTTATCCCATGCCAAACAAATGAACATGTTGATGTACCAACTGTTGTTCTACAACATACTTAAGAAAACGGAGAAAAGTCGAGTGAAAAGCTAATTTCACTGAAGTAAATACCATGAACAAAGATTAAAATCCAATTAACTAGAAGTATCATCGATGCCCAAATCCCATCAAAGATATTTGTATGTCAAAAGTCTATACGAGAATGTTGAAGACTTCGGTTACAGCAATAGCCTAATATTCATTAAAGATTCTATATAGAAAGTAAGCTGAAAAAAAACAATAATATTACCAGTGAAAGTATAATTTCTACTGTAGCAATAAATGCTAAAAAGCATCTTGGCCATAAGTGTTTCCATAAAAGATTTCGTTCAAATTCCTTTTGAATATCAGATTCGACAATCATATTTCGTTAAATGACTTTCTTTTACTCGTCGCTTGTCAATTGGTTGAATGAAATCAAACACTGCCGTCTTGATAAAATGTTTGTCCTTATAAAACAACAAGATAAACAATGCTATTTCGTTGAAAAGATGCATTCTTTCTTTTGCTATTTGATTTTTTTCTATTATTTGACACTTGTAAATTTTTTACATCGCTTGAAGAGCCCAATCATTTGTTCATGTTATTATGAGTAGATTTATCGAGACAAAGAAACGAATGACTTGAGAAGAAAATAATTTTATGTAGATCGGCTATATAAAATATGCATTCAATAGTAATAATTAATAATTTTGTGAAGCTCAATCTACAAGAAGTATTGGATTATTCGGGTGAAAATTTCGACTCCCGACACGAAGGAAGGAGGTCGAATTCATCTGTCTTTCGGCTACTTCGCGGTATAAACCAATACCTAGCGCTGGATTCACTAGTCCGATACCTTACCTACAACTAATACTAGGTGTAGTCAAAGAGGGACAACTGCAGCTCCTGAGTTAACGTTTTTCTTCTCGGAAAGAAAAACAACTCACAGAAATACTGGCATATAGCAACAAGCATATGAGTATGGCCAGGACTGTAGATAATAATAATATTCCATGATATTGTTATCAACTAGTATGAATAGACAAAGCAAAGCAGATGAAAGTATCTAAATTGAATTGTAATTCAGTGTAAATATAGAACTTCAAAAAATTTAAAACTATGTTTAATTTGTGTTTGAATTCAAACATGATGGAGTATGTTTTGACACTTATAAAAATTACAGCGAGAAAAATTGTATTTTTTCCATATATGCCTAGTTTATTCTTGAATTTATTCAAACATTTGAGTTTGATGTTGTGCTTCGATGAAGTTAATTTTTGAAATCAAAATTAATCAATTCATGTTTCTTAAATATAAACTCTCATTTCATGGCTATGAGTAGGTTTCGCAGCAAGACATTTTCAAAAATCTCAAAACAAAGAGTTTCGATTTGAAAATTTTCTCTGCAAGTACGTTAGATAGTGCTGAAAGCTTCAACTAAAACGAACATGCCTTTTTCGAGAAATTTGATGTCCTTAAAAAAAGAATAATTTCGCATAGGCAGACACAGTTATCAAGTCCATTTAAATATTGAATATTTCGAGAAAGATATGTTTGCTTTCGTTGAATTATTTGATATTATTTAATGCCTATCAAAGCTGCCTATAGAAAACATTTCAGATTATAAATCAGTGTTTTAGATTCTTCCGGAAATGCTGTGCTCTCAATGTAAAATAATCATAATTCTTCATCAGTAGGCAAATATCTTGAATCTTCTTAAACTTCTCTTAGTCTTACTAAGATCTACTTATAACTATAAAATGAAATCCAACAATTGAATATGTTGCTTCGTTAGTGACGAATCCGTTTTGCTCGTTGAAAGTAATATAATCATTCAGCCAAACATTTTGAGTATCTATTCTTGAGAAGCTCTCAATTTCTCATGAGCACTACACTACATTTATTTTAAAATCTTTCCATCAGAATCTATAATTATCATTACAAATATATTTAGATCAAATTAAAACCACTCTGCCTTGGAAAAAAAAACATAAACTCTATTAATTTCTTCATGCTAGCTGTGCTTGTTCGATTGAATAAAAATCTATAGTGAATGATGATGATCAAGAAAACAATTGAATATTCGATGACTTGCACAGCAAGTGATTTCCGTCAACGATTAACTATTAATTAAATCATCGAAGTCGGTAGAAAAAGAAGAAAAAAAAAGAGCCAAGAGTATGAGTGAATCTCTTCATCAACAGGACTCTTCAATAATAGCTGTTGTCACGTTTTTCAAAGAATAGTCATCAAAGAGCGAAATAACGATTTTTTTTAAAATACACATTACATAGAAGACAATTGGATAAATAAAGAAAATTGCCTTAAATAGATTCATATGTAATGAATAAATAAATGAAAGAAGATAAAAATCTTTTTCTGTTTGTCTGACATTTCATTCTAATAGGAAATAAATGAGTGTTATCCTTTTTTTATGTCTCTATTTTACTTTTTCTTAATAGATAAGATAAATGTTCTTTTTTTTTCACCATATATGATTGACGTAACAAGCATCTGATGAAAACAACAAGTAACTGATTCGTTTGTTTAGTATACATATCTATTGACAAAAACTAACAATAGAGTCAAGTTCGATATTTACTTGACATGATTCAATTGTCAAGTTTGTGTACTGGCCATTCTCTTTCCCTTCTCACATCGATTTATCAAAACGAGAAAGAAAAAAGAAACAAGTATGACAATAAATGGCCTAAGGGTTCATCATGTCTCTTCCTCTTCTTCATTTGTTCATTGCTTGAGAAATAATTGTTCGAAACACACTGGATTAATAAATAAAAGTCATACTTCTCTTTCACATATATCTATATGTATGTCGATGTTTATAAGTAAGTAAATACATTCAGCTAGCCATTGTACATTTTGATGAATTATTGCTTTTTTCTACATCAAGAGAGAATAGAATGGCAAGTCTTATCTATCTATATGTTAGATGAACGAGGAAGAAGACGTAAATCATCACCGACGGACGATGCTCATAGTCTTCACATTATTTGTGTGTTGATTAACGAAATTGATGATATCAGCGCATACATCCGATAAACTTTATTTTCGAGAGTCATCGTCTGTTACTTCCTCTATTGAATATATATATATATATATATATACAAAAAGAATGAGAAGAGCACGAGATAAGATCGATGACAAGTCAAGTTTTTTTTCCTTGTTGGTATGTATACATATACATGTTGCCTGACCGATCATAATTCATGTCCTTTTTCATTTGAACAGGTGAGTGAGTAATATATATATATATATGACCTCCTCTATCTTCAATTAAAATTCCACTTGATTATATTTTTTCTCACTTAAATTCACTATCATTATGATTATAAGTGAGCAAATCATCTCAGTAGTAGACCAGTTCAATTATAGAAAAACAGATATGTGAATACTGAAGAGTGCATCTAGTGAATTTTATCTTTCCGCTGTCTTTTTTTTTATTAATGCTGATTGACAAGGATCATCGGAAGCTTACGGCACCCTACAGATACTAGTAGTCATCAACATCGTCGAAGAGAGTCTATTCCTCTTCATTTGATATCTAATTGATTGAACCATGTCTGCTACTTCATAAAGAAGTAGATATCTTGAGTATGTTGAGTATCTAAAAGGTCATGTGCCTCTTTGCTAACGTAATTATTATGCTTCATAGATATTCATCACTCTTCTCGTTTTCTTTTTTTTTACCATCTGACAAAATAAATAAATATCGTATCAGTACATTGAATCATCAACAAAACGCCATTCATCCCCAACCTATGAATACATTTATGTATATTCACTCTTCAGAAGTTCTTTCATCATTAGCTCGTTTTTTTTTATTATGAATATGTCAATAACAAGTGTCTAAACGATAATTGACAGGATATATCCTAACTAATTTGACAACATAGTTATTGTTCTTCTGTCGTTTATTGAGAACGTGTGTTTTCTAATATATATATGCATAACAGTGATTACGTAGCTGGATTCTTTGCTTGATCACATCTGTTTATAATACTTGGAGCAATATTATCCATGATAGAATATTCATTATACAGTTCATTTGACAACAACAGGTAATTGAATAAGAGTATTGATTCGATCTCTTATTGAGATAGTCGTCGTCGCGCCTTGTATATTTATGTCCATATTTCAAAATAAACCCGCTAGCTATTGGACAGATTGAACATGATCGACACTATTTTCTTCTTTTCTATAGAAGAGGGAAGAGAGAGAGAGAGAGAGATGTACAAATTGTCGTTCATCATCACTTTCTTCTTTTTTTTCTTGCTATGAAAGAACTGTATACACATTGATATTTTAGACTTTGATAAATGCATAACATTCAATTGATCATCTTTCTTTTTGTTCTCATACATCACTGTAAGTTTATTTATATACTCTGACCTTGAAACTATTGTGTTCTTTTTTATAGCTTTAGCATCAATTCATTTGGAAAACATAACAGTAACACGTGGTGAAAATATAAAATTTCATTGTCATTTACCAGAAAATATTTCTTTAAAAGAAAATATAATTCAATGGAAAAAAGTTCGTTTCAATGATGACAATCTTATTATATCAATAAATGGAAAAATTCCAAAAATATTCGAAAAGTTTTATCAAACATTTTTAATAAATCAATCTAGTTCATTAGAAATATTTCATGTTGATAAAGAAGATTCTACGACATATATTTGTCAAACATTTGAAACACAAACAATACTTTGTCAATATAATCTTGTTGTACTTAGTAAGTAGTAGAAAATAAAAATAAAAATAATAACAATCTGTTCATCGGTTTTTTTTTTCTTTTTTTCTATATTAAGTTAAGCCTGAGGCACCCTTATTAACAATCAATAAAGAGAATATTGAAGAATATCAAGCTGTCACATTGACATGTTCATCATTGAAGGGAAATCCTCCGCCTCAATACATATGGTATCGCGATAGTGTACTTCTCACGTATGATTATATTCAATTGTATTTCTTTTTTTTTTTTTCAATTTAATTCTTCTTTTAATTCCAGTTCATTGAATGAACAAGTGATCATGACAGAGAATTGTTCAATATATACATTGAATGTAACTCGTTTTGACAATAATATAAAATATGAATGTCAAATCT